TAAGTTTTTGGACAGTCGCCACATTTAAGTTTGTATACACCACTGTGTACTTTTTCTTCTGGCTCTTGTTGTTCTTAATACATTTTTGAAAATTTAAAGCACCGATATATTTCTCTTCGAGGAGTTTATAACTTTATTGATAGATAAAATACGTTTTTATTTTATTTTATTATTATTTTCATAGTTTTACATACACAACGAATTATATTACCCTGTTAATGTTTATTAAATGGTGCTTTTGATTTATCTAAAATATCTATAGGTCAAATAATTTCTTTATTTACAATATCTTTTGAATATGGTTTTCGCGTGGAAATCGAAACGTCAGAAACAAATCTAAAATATTTTTTTTAGAATCATTTAAGGTTTCATCATCATCATCAACTAGCCTCTAACGTCCACTGCTGAACATAGGCCTCTCGCATGCTTTTTCACTTAGTCCGATTTTGCGCCATCTGAATCCAATTTGTAGCCACTTTTTTATGTCATCTGTCCATCTCCTTAGGGGTCGACCTCTATTTCTGTAAGCTTGTATTCGGGGTCTCCATTCCAAAATTCTTTTTGTTCACCGGTCATCAACTGATCTTGCTACATGACCTGCCCAGTTCGACTTTAGTGTTGTTATCCTTTCAATAACGTCTGCTACTCCTGATCTTTTGCGTATAGTAGCATTGGGTATTCTATCACGTAGAGAAATCCCTAACATAATTCTCTCCATTGCTCTTTCCGCAACTTGTAGTTTACTCACTGTTGTTCTTGTGAGCGTTAGGGTTTCTGCGCCGTAGGTCATCACTGGCAAAATACATTGATTAAATACTTTTCTTTTCAGACACATTGGAATCTTAGACCTAAAAATATCCTTCATCCTTCCAAATGCAGCCCAAGCGAGGTTTATTCTTCTTTTCAGCTCGATTGTTTGGTTGTCTCGACTTATTCTGATCTCATGGCCTAAGTATTTATAGGAGTAAACTGGCTCAATATCTTTGTCTTCTACTGAGATGTTTTTGTTGTGGATTAAATTTATCATAAATTGTGTTTTTGAAAAATTTATTTTAAGACCAACTCTTTTTGTGGCAGTATGGAGTTTTTGGAGCATTATCTGTGCCTGATCAAAGCTGTCTGCAATAAGAACGATATCATCTGCAAATTTAAGGTTATTTAAAAATTTTCCATCTACATTGAAGCCCTTTTCGTTTCAATCTATTGTTTTACAAGCGTATTCTAGCAAAGTTGTAAATAATTTAGGAGATATGTTGTCTCCTTGCCGAACGCCTCTTTCAATACGAAAAGTCCCAGTATCTTCATTAAGTCTTACACAGGCTGTAGCATGTTGATAGATGTATCTGATGAGAGATATGTATCGGTGATCTATTCTACATTGTGTTAGAGCTTGGAGCATTTCACTTTGATTGACCGTATCAAATGCTTTTTTAAAGTCGACAAAGACAAGTATCAGGGGTCTATTATATTCAATGGTTTTTTCAATCAACGACTTAATGGTTTGCAAATGATCATTTGTTCCGTATCCAGCTCTAAATCCTGCTTGCTCGCAAGGTTGATAGAAGTCTAGTTTTGATGTCAACCTATTAGTTATTATCTTCATAAACAACTTATAAACGTGAGATAACAAGCTAATAGGTCTATAGTTCTTTAGCTCTGTTATATCTCCCTTTGTGTGTATGACTACTATAACAGCTTTATTCCACTGAGATGGTGTAACCTCGTTTGAAAGGCATTTAAGGTTTAATCCCATATAAATACAATATTTAAGTTGAACATGGCACTAGAAAATAATTTCAGAACATCTTTAATAATAATTGTCGAATTTCTAAAGGACCTTTTATAATTGGGATTTAGATGTGTATATTGTTTATAAAACTAAAATCAAATATTTGCTTTTTTTCATTGCTATATAATATAGATTTCTACTATAAGTAATATTTTTTTTGCAGATCCCAAGACCAGGCACGTGATTCAGAGGAAATACAAATCGCCAATGGTATAATTATTTTGCTTATTTGTTTGCATAATTAAAATTAGATGTGATGTGTAACACGGTGTTTAATGTAGTTGATGTGTTGTAGCTGGTAGACATAGACCGTAACCTTTTATTATATTTACTAGTAACGATATTGATTCAAAATTTATACGATATTTCATAATTCTACAGGGTTTAAATCTACAATTTAACTACAAAACATATAAAAGCGGTTTATAAAAATAAATCAAAGTTTAAAAAATTTAATGATAATGAAGTTCACTTATCAGTACTTAAAGTCTAACTTTTTACCCAACTTTATGAATATGTTTGTATCAATTTTAAATTATTTGGTATATCATCCAGCGATTTTTAGGATAACCCACATGGTTTTTTCCAAGACAATTATTGCCTGATCGAGAAGACTGTTACTGTATGTGAATTTTTTGAATGATGAGACATTAACCTTGTATCCTCTTCTTCTTCTGGGGTAGCAACAAGTGCTTTTCTCTAGTATTCTTTCTTTGCGCTGTCTTCAAGATGTCACATTGCGTGTAGTCGTATTTCGAGCCATCTCTTATTATACAATACTCTGTGAGAATCAACGTACGAGTATGATGTATGTGGGCTCTGTAATCCAGTATTGGAAAGGTTTTGTAATTTTTTTGATGACTTTGTGATGAACACAGTTAGAATTAATAATTATGTCTATTATAAACGTTGCGATTTTATAATCTATTATGCAGGTCATTGTAATACAAACATTTTCTGTGTAACGTTCAATGAGGTTTACATTATTCTTCTTCCTCAATGTTTTTATTTGTCTAAGGTATCTCCAGAATATATGATATCTTTTCTTTCCATCATTATCGAATCTCGGCCTATTTTACCATATTTAAAACCCATGTTGTTTAGTATCCTACGAAATTTGGTTTTGGAAAACATGGTAGGTCCTCATCATCCCTTACTCTGTTCATTATGCAGTCGACGATTGGTGGTATGTTTACCGAAAAAAAAAATCATGGACAATTTTTCTTAATAGAGATCTCACAATACGTGTGCTAGTTGAAAGATGTAGAGATATCGATTCTGATGTATACTTGTCTTTTATAGACTTTCAGAAGGCGTTTGACCTGGTGAAACATGATAAACTAATAGATATTTTAAGGTCATGTAATATCGACGATAAAGACTTAAGGATCATTTCAAACCTCTACCAAGAACAAAAGGCTAAAATCAGAATAAAAAGCGAAACATCTGGAAAAATCAATATTGAGAAGGGGGTAAGTCAGGGATGTGTCCTATCACCTTTGCTGTTCAATGTTTACTCTGAGAAGATATTTCAGAAAGCTTTGGAAGGCACCTCGGATGATATAATTATAAACGGGCAATGTATAAATAACCTGCAATATGCTGATGACACTGTCATACTGGCAGATAATGCCGAAGCCCTGCAACGCTTCATGGACCGAGTAACGACAGCCTGTAGTGAATTTGGAATGAAATTGAATACAAAGAAGACAAAAACGATGGTAATCAGCAAGCACCAAAACAGAAGGGTGAAGGTCAATGTCGACGGAACAGATCTGGAAAGAGTAACAAGAACAACATACCTTGGAAGTATTCTTGATGAAACTTGGGACCACTCACTAGAGATAAGAATACGCCTGGAAAAGGCACGTACAATGTTTTACAAAATGCAAAAAGTTCTATGCAACCGCCAGCTGGGCATCTCATTGAGAACTAGAATACTTAAGTGCTATGTTTTCTCCACCTTGCTCTATGGTGCTGAAGCCTGGACAATGACAGAAGCAACACAAAAAAGAATTGAAGCATTCGAATTCTGGTGTTACCGTAAGATGCTCAGAATATCCTACATGAGCCATACGACAAATGCGGAAGTCTTGTGGAGGATGAATAAGGAAAGAGAGCTTATGCTTATAATAAAAGAACGGAAAACATAATTTTTGGTCACATCATAAGAAATCAAAAGTACGAACTGCTCCAACTTATAATCAAAGGCAAAGTCAATAGCAAAAGAGGACCAGGAAGAAGACGCAACTCTTGGCTTAAAACCTACGGCCTATGCGTCATTGCCGCAAAACCTACGGCAATGGACGAACATGACCTCCATAGAACTATTTAGGGCTGCTACAAATAATATTAAATGGGCAAATGTAATGGCCAACGTCCTTAAGGATAAGACACCGTAAGAAGAAGAAGAGAGATCTCATTCACTCGCCGTAAACATTTTCACGTGAATTGGGCTAGAAGCTGTTTTTTTTTTCCGTTTTTGTACTGGTTTCAGTTCGCCTTGCTGGGCCTCTTCATGGATGTCATAAATGTTGCTAACCTTCACCGCACATTTTCAAAACTTTTTGCATAGTAATAGTTAAGCTGTCACCATGTTTTAAGTTCAGATGATAGTTCAATGCATTTATCACCACACATTTTACTTGCATTGAGCTTGCATAGTTTTTACCAACAAGTTTTTGGTCTAATGGCCAGTACCCAAATCGACAAAGAGACCTGTTTGCTTTGCGTGGACAATGAGGATTAAAACTGATTCGCTTCTCGTATTGACTTTGTAATGATCTTTATTTCCCAAAGAAAGTATTTACAATAGTAGCTATTGAAAATACATTAATATAGATAAGCTATCAACAATGAGTTTTTGATATATTTTACTTTTTTTAGAGTAGTTTTCTTCATGTTTTCGTTTAGTTCGCAATATAACTCTCTTATTTATACATCGATGATTGAATCATACTTTAGTTAAAACAATATTGATAGTCTTTTGTACAACAGTAGGAAATAGTTGTGTGTCCGTATATTCCATTCTTAAATCCGGTCCTGATGCGCCGCGCGGGGCAAACCGGCAACGTGGTTGGCCGTTCCCCCATAAGAAGTACATTGCGTATCTTACATGCACTGCATTCTAACTGTGGCTTTTACTATAGCAGAGTACTTCATCCAAAGCGACGGCTCAACATACGAACACACACAGTATGATATCTTAAAGACAATGCAATGAAAGAAAATGGAAGAAAAACGCTGCTCTTGAGCTCCAAAGCAAAAAAATAGCACACGAGGTAAATGTACCATTACTCAGGGCATTTACACAATTGCTTGTGTGTTTCGTAGAAGAGGTTGTGCGTCATATAAAGACTAAAAAAGTAATGAGATGTTGATCCAAAGATTATTTTCAAAAAAGTAAATAATAAAAAAGTTAATATGAATATATATTCTTTAAAACAACTATATTCAGGAAATGTCCAAGATATTCTATACTTTTAAAAGATTACAGGCACTGCTACACGATACACATAAATATTTCTGAATTTTAAAGAATCTTTTAAAAATACACACTCTTTGTAAAGGTCTATTAATTATCAAAAAAAAATTATTTACGGAATGTTCTTCTCTTAGATCTTTCTTCAATTATTATCTGAACCGTAAAAGTTAAATTAATACATCTTTGGTTAACTGAACTAAGGCACTTGTTAATAGTTTTAATAATATTTTAGTAAAGTAATTGTTAAAAAGTATGACTCTGCTCCATTTTGTAGGATCTACTGTATTTATTGGGCATAAACTACAACCTAAATTCAAAATATGTTGTATTAAATAATAAAAATAACTATTATCAACCTATTTTATCGTTGCCTATCCAACAACTGTATTTTAAAGTTAGTATTAGTGCCAAAGGAGTAGGCAGAAGAAGGCAAAAACATGGTATGACGAAAAATGTCGGAAACAGCTGTAAAAAAAAAGACAAACAGTAAGGAAGACTTGAATACAACTGCAAACAGACCGAAGTAAAAAGAAATATGACGACTGCCGAAAAGAATCAAGAAAAATAATACGCACAAAGAAAAGAAACTACGAACAACAAAAATATGAAGCTATGGAGAGAGACCTGCCCAAACCAGGCTCCAGACAATTCTATAAAGTAATCTCCTGTGAGAAAAGAGGACATAGAACCAATTCCATCCATACACTGAGAAACAATCAAGGTTGTATGATAATCGACGGTAAAGAAGTAACTGAAGAATGGAAAAGGTATTTTAGGGACCTTCTAAACATCATACAGGAAGAACAGCATACAGAAGAGATCTATATCACAGCGGACGTGCCCGTCATAAATCCCTCCTTTGAATAAACCCAAAAGGCCTTAAATAAGCTGAAAAATCACAAAGCGCCGGGTACGGGCGAGATACCAGCAGAACTTCTGAAATATGGAGGAGTATTCTCACATATGGTTAGAAGAAAGGATACCAATACGATGGAAGGAAAACATGATAGTGTCCATCCACAAAAAAGGGGACAGAACAAAATGCGCGAATTATAGAGGAATCTCACTCCTAAACACGGCATATAAAACCCTCTCAAATATTATTCTTAGTAGACTAATCCCTTATGCTGAAAATGTCCTAGGCGAATATCAAGCCGATTTTAGGGCAAACAGATCAACAATAGATCAACAATTCACGCTGAGACAACTTCTAGAAAAGGGATGGGAGTATAATAGACCCATACACAATCTTTTCATAGATTTTCGACAGACATATAATAGTCTAGAAAGAAGCCAAGTATGGAATGCAATGGCGGAGTTCTCAATACCAAATAAACTCATTCGGATGATTAAAGTCGGTATGGAGGGTGGAATATCTAAAGTACGTGTAAATAATAAACTGTCTGGCAGCATTGAAATCAACAGTGGACTTAAACAGGGTAATGCGGTATTTCAACTACTTTTTAACCTTGTATTACAGAAAGCCATGAGGTCGGCCGAAATAAAACAGAATTCCTATCGGTTCAAGGTCCCAAGCTGTTACTCGCATATATAGATGAAATAAATCTCGTTGAAGACTCCATCCTATCCACGAAAGACATTTTTAACAAGGTGGAAGGAGCAAGAAGTGGAGAAGGGCTAAAGATTAATGAAGATAAGACGAAATATATGTGTATAAATAGAACGACATGAAGAGACCGAATAGAACAAAATGTGATGGTCAACACCTTCAATTTCGAAAGAGTACAACTTTTTAAGTATCTGAGTATCTGAGGGCCGTAATCACAGCTGACAACGATGTTACTGAAGAAATAAAAGATAGAATCCAATCTGCAAACCGCTGTCTATTCGCACTGGATAAGCTTATAAAATCAAAAAATCTCACAAAAAGTTTAAAGATCAAAATCTATAAATCCATCGTCAGACCTGTAATAACATACGGATGCGAAACGTGGACCATGACTAAAGCAAACGAAGAAAAGCTCAGACGCTTTGAACGAAAAATTGTCGGACCTCACCATGACATCACCACAAACCAGTATAAGATCAGAACCAATATCAAATTAAAAGCACTCTACAATGACGCCGATATTGTCCAAGAAATTAAATCACAGCGACTAAGATGGGCAGAAATTGAAATGTTTTATGACGATGCGATGTATCCACTGCGCTTGATGATTCTCGTACTCAATTCACAATTTTATGTGGCGATTTCAACGCAAAAATAGGGGTAAAAGAAGCAGATCTAGAAACATCTTTAGGACAATTCGGTTCCCCAGGAAGAAATGATCGAGGACAAAAGCTACTAGAAATCCTACTCCAGAATAACATATTCAACATGAACAGCTTCTTTCACAAAAAGATGCACAGAAGATGGACTTGGCAAAGTCCAAACGGTAGAACAAGGAACGAAATCGACTACATCATAAGTGATCAAAAACAAATAATTAAAGATGTAACAGTACTCAACAAGTTCACCACAAACAGCGACAACAGGATGATAGGAGCGAAAGTTCAAATCAATATAAAAAGAGAAAGGAATATAATGATTAAAAATAAATTTCATGGTATCTGGACACCCCCATTAGATATCAACCAATATCAGACACATATCAATAATTTGCTTCTATTGCAGGAAACCTCCGCTAACGATATTAACGACTTGAATAACTGCATCATAAACGTCTTACAAGAAAGTCACCGAGTGCACTGTCCTAAAAGAAAATCAGATAGTAAAATAAGTGCATATACTGAAACGCTCTTGGATCAAAGAAGACAAATGAGAAGCGATAAGAATGTAGATAGCAACACTTTAAGAAAAATAAACAAAACTGTTTCGAAAGCAATTCGAAAGCTATAGAGGAAAATAACAGCGTAAAAGTTCTACGTAGAAAGCTAACGAATGGGAAATGCGAAATTCATAAATTAAAAAACAAGCAAAATTAAATAATATCACGTAGAGACGAGTTAATACAGGTCGTCGAAGAGTTTTACGAGGACTTATATAGAAGTAGACGAGAAGATAAAACAGGAATACAAACAGCCATTTCAAAGAAGATCAAGAATCAAGGTTCCGAACTAATGCCAGAGATAAAGCTAGATGAGATTCGACAAGCATTAAGAAAAATAAAAAATAACAAAGCCCCAGGAGAGGATGGAATCGTAATAGAAGCTATCGTAAATGGAGGAGATATGCTATTAAATAAATTAAGGAAACTATTCAATCTATGTTTGCAGCAAAGAGAGGTGCCCAAAGAGTGGAACAATGCTACAACCATCCTTTTGCATAAAAAAGGAGATAGAACGGACCTAGAAAATTATAGACCTATTAGCCTGTTGAACCACATATACAAGCTCTTCACTAGGGTAGTGACATCAAGATTGGAGAAAAAATTAGATTTCTACCAACCGAGAGAGCAGGCAGGATTCCCCTCAAATTATGGTACCAATGATCACCTCCACACAGTAAAGACACTCATTGAAAAATCTATAGAATATAACAAACCTCTTGTTCTCATTTTCATAGATTTTCATAAAGCGTTCGATACGATCGAATTAGACAGCCTTATAGAAGCAATGAATGACAGCAGGATTGACCATAGGTATAGTGAGCTTATTTATAATATTTACAAAAATGACACTATGACTGTTAAAATAGACAACAAGGAGATACATTGTCGCCGAAATTATTCATAACGGCATTAGAATATGCCTTTAAGATGATCAATTGGGACCACAGAGGAGTAACGATAGACGACGAAAAGCTTAACCATCTCCGTTTCGCAGATGACATTGTCCTTATCACAGATAATTTAGGAGAAGCTACAGATATGTTAAACGAATTGGATTTTGCATGTTCGAAGGTGGGCCTGAGAATGAACTTGACCAAAACTAAGTTTATGACAAATTTGGTCCCCAATAACCATTTGACTATTCAAGAAAAATTGGTAGAACTGGTGGAGAAATATACGTATTTGGGTCATGAAATAAGAATCAGCAGGGATAACCAAACATGTGAGATCCAAAGACGAATTACTTTAACATGGGCAGCCTTTGGAAAACTGCGAGACACACTTGGGACCAACATACCAATCAGCCTCAAAAGAAAAGTGTTTGACCAATGCGTATTACCGGTCATGACCTATGGGGCGGAAACTATGACTTAAACCAAGACCACGGCTTCGAAACTGAGAGTGGCACAGAGACGAATGGAACGGTCTATGCTGGGAGTGACGTTGAGGGACCGAATAAGAAACGAAGATCTGCGAAGAAGGACGAGTATTACTGATGTTGTGGAACGCATAGCGGAACTAAAATGGAACTGGGCAGGCCATGTAGCGAGAATGCACGATTCACGATGGACGAGCAAAATTACAAATTGGAGGCCAAGAGCAGACAAACGCAGTAGAGGAAGACCACCTACACGTTGGGCCGACGACATCAGGCGTATCACTAAAAATGGCAACAAAGAGCACAAAATCGTGAGGAATGGAGGAGTTTAAGGGAGGCCTATGTCCAGCAGTGGACGTGATAAATAGAGGCTGGATGATGATGATAATGATGAAGATGGGCAGGCCACGTGCATAGACTGCATAACGAGAGACTTGTAAAACTGGTATGGGAGGAGATTCTCACGGTAAAAGACCACTCGGACGTCTCAGAATGCGATGGAGAGATAACATCCAAGCAGATCTCCAAAAAATGAACATTCCATTTGACCCTAGGTTGATGAAAGACCGAACAAAGTGGAAAAAAGTTATACAGTCAACCAAGACCGACCCAGGGTTGTAGCGCTAC